AGGTTAACACCTCCAAACCCATCGAAACCCATCCAACACGCCGCCAGGGTCGGCGGACCCCCAAGGCCTTAAACCATAAACCCCGAAATTTCCTGTTGGTTTAAGGAGGCTGTCGCTGTCTGTGTGACCAGTCTCCTGTTTTCAGTGCCAGCTTCGCTGAAGTGGGCACTGACCCGTCGTTGTCGCTGCGGAGAAAGCCCGTTGCACTAAAAAACCCTTAACCCTTAGCCCTAAACCCCCAAAAACTCGAAATCCTACTTTTACGACAGCTGTTGGCGTTCACACAGTTTTTGTGGGGAGGTCTAGGGTTTAGGTTTCAAGGCCTCATTCTCCTCGGGTTGATCTTGGATGTTTCAGGCGGTCGAGACGCTTCCGGGAGGGCTTAATTTAAGGCCGTGTTGCGTTCTGATGCTCTCCAAGAGAGGGGCGCACATTTTTTTGATATGTTATTGGCGGTTCTATGCGTATTGCTCAATAAGCCCTAGCAAAGGCAAGTATATGGGTAGTTGTCAACATTATGGTCCGTTTTGGGGTACCCTAAATAATAGGTGCCGTATTATACTAAGGACCCAAAAAGGGACCCTAATTTTGCCAACCACCCATGTAGAGGGTTCTCCAGGATTTTGCGTCTGGGGCCTTGCTGGCCGTGTAGGGTTCATCACAATCTTACGAGCTTCAGCGGCAGGAGGTAGTTGGGTACCTTAAACCCTAAACCCTAAACCCTAAAACCCTAAAGCCCTAAACCCTAAAACCCTAACCCGAAACCCTAAACCCTAAACCCTAAACCCTAAAAACCCCAAACCCTAAACCCTAAACCCTAAGACCCCAAACCCTAAACCCTAAACCCTAAACCCTAAACCGCCTCGATCCACCCACTTTGGTTCAAGGGTTTCGAGGCTGGGAGTTCGGCAGAGGCTTAATCACAGGGGCCTGCATAATTAGAATAGGGTTTGGGGGTGCATTCTACTATAATTATAATAAGGAACACACAAAACCCTATTAGAATTATTCAGGCCCATACCTAAGTTTTCTGATTCGCAGGGGTCTTGTGGTGTTTTAGCAACTACCGATGAGCCTTTCATTCGCACAACTTGGCACAGGGTCGAAGGCTGAGCCCGGAATCCTAATGCAGAGGCCTAAAGAATTGCCAATACTAGTGTGGTGGTTCCTAAACCCTATTCTAACTATCAAGGCCCCTACATTACCCAAAGCTAGGGTTTTTTGTAAGGGCTCAACCACCTTCAACTCAACGGTTCTGCGCAAAGCCTGGCCTGGGTTTGCGGGTTTGGGGACTGGGGATGGGTTTAGGGTTGAGGGTTTAGGGTTTAGGGGGTGTACGGTTTAGGGTTTGGGGGCCAAATCTAGTGGAGGGTTGCCGATGACCAGGAGGGGGCGCCGTCGGTGAACAACACCGTGAGCGGCAAGAGCCAGGGGCTCAAATTTCGACCTCCGTTGGCAACTTAAAGTTGGGCATAATCGCAGCTAGGGGAGACAGAGATATACATGTGTAGTAATATGAATATGTGTAATATATATATGTTTGTTTTTGTATATGCGCATTGTGCTGCACAACAGCACGGCGCAATCCGACAATCCGAGATACCGTGGCGAGTATGCCGTGGTTGCTGGCTCTTTGTACCCTGTAGTGCAGTAGAGCATGTATGCAGACATGATGCCTGGTGGGCGTGCTTCGCCTACACCTGCGCTTGTATGCCTAAACCCTAAACAACCCTAAACCCTAAACCCTCAACCTTCCGCAATCCCCTGCAGCGATCGTTGGCCCAACGACGGGGTCGCAGATCACTGAAACCTGGACTCCGCAAGTCTACACTCTGCATCCCCAAGGAAGCCCTTCCATATAAAACCACCCTAAGCCCTTTTCCCCAAATACTAAACCCTGAAACCTGAAAACCCTGAAAACCCTGAGAACCCTAAACCCTAAACCAAAAACCCTTAAACCCTAAACCAAAAACCCTTAAACCCTAAACCCACAACCTTCAACCTTCCAAAGCAAGCGCTTGGGGCCCTAAGTGGTCCGCTGACGCAGAGTCCCATGCCACACTTCAGCGATTGGGCCAGGGAGCAAGGCAGGATGTGAACATAGGGTTTAGGGTTTAGGGTTTAGGGTTTTAGGGTTTAGGGTTTAGGGTTTAGGGTTTAGGGTTTAGGGTTTAGGGTTTAGGGTGTAGGGGGGTATAAATGAATCTTGTAGTCTGTGATAATTTGTTATCCTCTACGATAGTATGCTACAGAATACCATAACGTACTATAATATACTATCATATGCTATAGAATGCCCTAAGCCCGATTCTAATCGTTAAGGCCCCTAGAATATTTAATATAGGTTCCTTCTTTGAGGGTTCCCGTCAAGGGTTCTGCAAGATTTGCCGTTACCATAAGGTTTTAGGGTTTCAGGAACTTATGACATCCGGGTCGCACGGTTTGGGGTTTCAGGGCAGTTTAGGGATTGAGGTTTTTGGGGTTTCGGGGTTTCGGGCTGTAGGTTTTGGGATGTGGGGTGTTAGGGTTTACTGCTGACCCTTCTTGGGGTGTTGTAGTGGCTGATGACACTCCGATTCCGTGCCCAGCCCCGCACCCAAAACGTCGGGACTGCCCGAACTCTTAAACCACCAAAATCCTAAACTCAAGAGCCTTCAAAGCCAACTTCCAAGCTCTAAACCCCAAATTCCAAACCCTAAACCACCCTAAAACCTCCACCCCTACACCTTGAACCCGAAACCCTAAACTCTAAACCCTAAACCCTAAACCCTAAAACCTAAACCCTAAGCCCTAAACAGGTGTCCTTGTGACTGTGGATGCCCCGGCTCGGGAGTCTGAGACGCTGGCGAAGTGGCAGAACTGGGACTTGCCGAACGCCAAAAGAGCGATAGTGGCCGCTTGTAGCATTTGAGTCTTTTGGCCCGGTTTAGGGTTTAGAGTTTAGGGCTTAGGGTGTAAGGGTTCAGGGCGTAGGGTTTAGGGTGTATGTATATATATATATATGTCTAGATATACGGATATATCTATATACCTATATACATATATACCCACAACATGCCTTTACACTTACATGCCTATATGCCTATAGACCTATCTATCTATCTATCTATCTATCTGTCTGTCTATCTAGCTATCTAGCTATCTAGCTACTTGGCTATCTAGTTATCTAGCTATCTATCTAGCTAAATATCTAGCTAACTATCTATCTAGCTGTCTATCTAGCTAGCGAGCTATCTATCTAGGTATATATGTACATATTACTGCTTGGGGTTCGAAACTTTGGGGTCTGGGTTTTGGGACCTGCCTTGGTGAGGCTTGCGAGGTTATACAGCGCCTCATGGAGAGCCCAGGGCTTGTGGTGTGCTGCAGGGGCTAGAAACGGTGAGACGAGGGCTTTGAGGTGCGGGTTCAGGGTTTAGGGTTTCGGGTTTGGGGTTTAGGATTTAGGGTTCAGGGTTTAGAGTTTAGGGTTTAGGGTTTGGGGTTTAGGGTTCAGGGTTTAGTAAGTTTAGGGTTTAGGGCCGATCCGCCCCCAGTCACCGTTCATTCAAAGATGTCGGGGGGGGGGGGTGGAGGCACCTAAGGCATCGGACCCCGCGAGGTGTATTGCACACAGGAAACCTAAACCAGGAGCATGAATATAGCAGAAAACTGAAACCACATCCCACCCCTAAGCCTTTGAAACAAAGTGCTCGAGACCGTAAGCCCAACAGATATAGACCGCAAACCCCCGAAAACCCTCTGTCCTAAGCCGTTCTACAGCGTGAAGCCTTAACCGAAGTTCCTGAACCGCAAACCTTACAAGCCCTGCAACCCGAGACCCTCGAAGCCTTGTAGTACAAGCCCTGTAGCGCCCAAGTCCCTAAACCCTAAGCCCTAAACCCTAAGCGACAGAACGAGCCCATTGCACCTAAAAAGAAAGATCCCAAGTTTAAACCCTAAACCCCTAAGCCCTAAGCCCTAAACCCTATGCCCTAAACCCTAAACCCGAACCCCTTAGCCCGAAACCCCGAAGCCCTAAACCCTAAACCCTAAGCCCTAAACCCTAAACCCTAAGCCCTAAACCCCGAAGCCCTAAACCCTAAGCAATAAACCCCCAAGCCCCAAACCCCGAAACCCTAAGCCCTAAGCCCCAAACCCCTAAGCCCTAAACCCCCAAGCCCCAAACCCCTAAACCTTAAGCCCTAAGCCCCAAACCCCCTGCCCTAAACCCCGAAGCCCTAAACCCTAAGCTCCAGATCCGAACTTCCAAGGTGAAGCCTTCTGAGTTGGGCACCGGCGCGAAATTCGAGGCCGACCGGAACACCTCCAAGTGTTCGTTTAGGGGTTTGGGATTTAGGGTTTAGGGTTTAGGCTCTAGGATATAGGGTTTAGCGTTTAGGGTATTGGGTTCAGGCATGTGCAGGCCATTGGGTTGAGGGTAACTCGAAGGATTTCTGAGTCAAAATGCTTGCTATAGGGCTTGCAGTAACGACTACTGTAAGGGCTACTGTGTGCATCGCAAACTGGGCGTGGGGAAATGGGTTGGGAAAAGTAGCAACCAGCTTATGTGTTAACACACATGTGTGCGTATGTATGCATGCATGCATGCATGCATGCATGCATGCATGCATGCATGCATACATCCATGCATCCATGCATGTATGTATGTACACATGTATGCATGTATGCATGTATGTATGTACGTATGTATGTATGCATGCATGTATGTATGTATGCATGTATGTGTGTGTGTATGTATATGTGTACATGTGGATGTGTTTATGCGTGTACGTACGTGTGTATCTGCATATGCGCGTACGTGTGCGCACCCCGCATGTGTGTGTGTGTGTGTGCCTGTGTGCCCGCTCACATATTGGTATGTGCAAAGAAACAAATAACTATACAGATATGTAAGTGTGCAGGTGTACGGTTCTATGGGTATACAAATATTTGTATGTGTATGCATATATGCATGCTACATACTATATTCATTATATACTCACAGAACCAGAGCTCTTCTCTACGCGTGTGCTTAAACGTGCTGTTTTCTCATTGGATATGGGCTCGGCTGGCACATGTAAACACGTGCATGCAGAGGTGCAAGCATGCCTTTCTGCATTGGAGGTTGTCGCATGTTCGTGTATGTTCATGTGAGGTGGTGGAGTGTGAAGTGTAATGTAATTCAATGTAGCTTCTCCGCTCGCATGCGTGTCTACCTACATCCATGCGTGGATGCCTACGACTGTTTGGATTACATGTTAGTTGAGCCATTCCAAAGTAGACGGGCAACAGCCACAGTCGTCGTCGTCCTCGCCTCGGCCCCACCACGGCAGCAGCAGTAATTGCAGCAATGGGCCAGGCCTCATCTAAGCCCCTAAAGCGTCCTAAACCCTAAACCCTAAACCCTAAACCCTAAATGTTTTGTCTGCAGCAGGTCGTGGCGGACCGCGCTGCAGTGAGGGCTGAGCCCTCGCTGGCGGCCCCGGTTCAGGGCGGCAAGGTGAAGGTACCGGGGGGTTTAGGGTTTAGGGTTTAGGGTGCAGGGGTCGGAACTAGTCATAACATCATGTATAGCTGCATTCTCGTGGAACCCAGTACAACATACCCCCAAAGCCAATTCTAACTACTAACGCTCCTATGTCAGATTCACGGCGGGGGGGGAGGAGGGGGGGGAGACTCGGGCTTTGTAAGGTTTCTAAGGTTTTGTGGGTCAGGTTTCAAGGTATATTCGTGCTTTCATGGCATTCGCAGAGTTGGGTAGGATTACGTGGGGGTTGAGAGGGTGCGCTGGCAATTAGGAGGTTTGTAGAGCTTAGAAGGTGCTGCAAGTTGCAAGTGTAAGGCAGAATGCGCGTTGGGTGCATATAATAGCCCAAATAGTTACCAATGCTAGGGTTGCGAATGTAATTACCGTATTACGTATATATATATATATATGTATATATTCAGTAGCATATGTGTATATATATATATACATCGGCATAGTACCGGGCCCCATCTTCTTTAGGAGCCCTGAACCCTTCACCGCCCGAGTTGTGGAAGCTTTACTTCGAGGCGTTATACTCGAAGTCAATATAGTGAGTGGCTTACCCTAAACCCTAAACCCTAAGCCCTAAACCTTATTGAATTGATAGCACAATTAGAGTACAATTTAGCATCTCACAGAGTATCGTACAGTTTAGTACATCATATTGCAATCTACTAGACTGCACTATAGTGCTGTATGGTAGAATATATTCCTGAGAAGGGACCCACAAGTTATATGTATACATATATATATATATATATAGAGGCCTTAATAAGTATTTCGGGGTCTAGTATACGATAATTACAATAAGGAAACCCCCTAACCCTATTCTAATTATTAAGGCCCCTTATAGTGGCCCTTAAAGAACCCCTTTAAGGAACCCTTTATAGGAACCGTATGAAACCCCATTCTCATTATTAAGGCCCCTACATTAGGCTGCAAGCGTCAGGGAAGCATCGTCGAACTCTTCGAGTGGAGCGACTGCTTGAAGTGGCGCCGCGTCGTTGACAGCAAGGCCACTTGTTTCCGGTTAGGTTTCGGTTTAGGGTTTATCTTTTAGGGTTTAGGGTCTAGGGCTTAGTGGCTTCGGGCTTGGGGTTTGAGGGTTTGGGTCGAGGATTAGCAGTGGGGCTGAGATGGGCTGCATGTCGAATACGACTGAGAAGCGGATCTCGCATGCAAGCGGAAACTGGAAATGCTGATACGGTTTTGGATTTATGATTTTTCATTTTATAAGGCTTCTGATTGGTTTTGTTGTTGTTTATTAGTTTTTCACAACTGTCAAAAGGGGAAAAGGGGCCAGAGGGTCTTCAGATTTCATCTAGACCTCTGCTTCATAATAAAACCTGCCCTTCATGAAGGGCTAGAATAAGGATCCTCTATAAAGCACCGCCTTATATCAGGACTGTAGTAGGCACCATCATGCTAGAAGAACGGGTTGATTATTCCAGGGTCTAGATCAGACTCCTGGCCCAGCGAGCAACCGTGCTCAAGATCTCAGGTTCGCACTCGCGCAAAGCTCTTTTGGGAGGACCCATGAGCCCTAAACCTCAGCTTCCAACCCCTAAACCCGAAACCCCAGACCCCAAAACCCTAAACCCGAGAGCCCCAAAGCTCCAAAACCCCGGTTAAAACCCCACCCCCAAAACCCTAAACCTCAAACTCCAAACCCTTAACTCCAAACAAACCCGAAACCCCGAAGCTCGCACATCCGAACTTCTGAACTTCCTAAGGTTTAGGGTTTAGGGTACTGGCGCCTTAATAATCAGAATAGGGTTCCGTATTATAATTATGAGGCCTAAATAGTTACCAATACCAATTTGGGGGTTCATTGTTATAATTGGAGTATAATGGGCCCAAAACCCCATTCTAATTATGAAGGCCCCTTACCCTAAACCCGTATAGTAGCGCCTACAGGCCCCTTCAAGGAACCCTTTAAAGGAACACCCCCCAAACCCTATTCTACCGTACATTACCCTAAACCCTAAACCCTAAACCACCGAAACCCCAGTATGGGCTTTGCAGGTTTAGGGGTTAGGATTTTGGATGTTTAGAGTTGAGGGGTTTAGGGTTTTGGGGTTTAGGGTTTGGGGGTTTTAGGGTTTAGGGTTTACAGGGTTTATGCTTTACTTAACCCTTAACCTAAGCTCGAGAACTCCTGTATAACCCTTCTTCTGTCAACCCGCATAACAACCCTTCCAGTAACGCGGGTTTCCTAGACCCCTGAGCCACCTTGTCAGACCTACTCTAAACCCTTGATTCTGCCCCTCAACCCCTAAACCCTTGTACTTGTACGTACCTAGAAAACTGCAGCCTCAACCCCCAAAGCCCTACACCCCTAAACCTGACACCCAAAGCCCCAAACCCTAAACCCTAAACGCTTCTTAAGGGTCTAGGGTTTAGGGTTTCTGCTCCTCGTGAGACCTGGCTGTCGGGGTGGATGCTGCTGGACCACCCGCAGCACGGCCCGCTCTTACGACCTTCGAGTCTTCCCTTCCAGGCAGCTCAGGGCTTGAGTTTTCGGGTTGCTGTTAAGGAATCCATAAGGGCCGTATAAAGGGATCTATAAGGGCTCTATAAAAGGATCTTTAAGAGTATTTAGGGTTGAGGGTTCAGGGAGGGGGTTTTGGCTTGGTTCAGGCTCGGGGGTGTTGGGCTTAGCGTTTAGGGATGATTGCTTGGTGGTTGAGGGCTTGGGGTTTCAGCAATCTGGGCTTGTCGTTGCCGGAAGTAGGATTCTTAAACTCTCTGATTCTAGTACCGCTTGCGTGATCACACAAGAGCCAGAAGAACAACAAGCTTAAATCATGTATACTATATGCAGCGCAGACGTTGCAGACATGAGTTTAGGGTTCAGGGTATATACATTCGAGATTTTGTATCGACAGAGAAGGCGGACAGGCGTGCATGCATGAATGCTTTCCTATGCACGCACTAGCATACTTGCATACATGCATATTATGTACGTACCTGCAAACATGCGCATGTATGCCGATGCCTGCTTGCATCATTGCAATCTTGACGCATGGCAGTCTTGTCATGGATCATGCCGGGTTTAGGGCGCTGGGGTTGTTTCCGACGGGCCACGTGTGGAGTTTCGCGGGAGGAGCTGAAGATTGTCATGGGGTGCTTACCAGCCATGCTTTTGGTGAATCCTTTGTGAGCTTTGAACATTTTTGCCAAGACCTGGGCGTGCAGCTCCGTGCTTTTCCATTCCAAGTGCTACTCAAGATATCCACCCACAGCGCGCAACCAAGACATCCAAAAGTGGAGGGAGAGCAGAAGTGGCTTGTTCATCACGGGAGGTTTTCACGTCACCATGTTATCTGCTTCAAGGCGCATGCAAGTCTAAGGACTTTTTAACACGCCGCCAGAACCCGACTTCCTGAACTCTTACAACCGCTTTTCATGCTGCTTAAGCTTTCGACCCCTTTGCGTACACCCAAAAGGTTCGAGAAGGAATCGCTGTGCCGGTGTCCCCGGTTTAGGGTTTAGGGTTCAGGGTTTATTGTCCCGAAGTAGTGTCTCTCCAGGTAAAGCCTCTGGAGCCGCTTTGTGCCTGGCTCGGGCTTGGGCTTCTGGTTGTTTCTACTCTGACTACGATGATACTGGTCGAGTCCTGCGTTGAGGGTGCGATGAGGGTTTAGGGTTGAGGCTAGGGGGTGGTGTTTGTAGTAGTTGCGCGAGGAGAAGAGCTAGTAGCAGCAGCTGTGATGGGAGCAGCAGCAGGCGGAGGAGACGTATTCGCAGGAGTTGGAGGAGGAGCAGGAGCACGAGAGCAGAAGCAGGAGCGGGGCGAGGAGTAGGAGCAGGAGCCTTCGAAGTGTTATTGCCACTATTCACAGTAGTAGTACTACTGGTGTGACTACTAGCACTAGTAATAGTACTAGTATACTGGTGGTAGCAGTGTTAGTCGAAGTGGCGGTAGTTAGTTCTGGTGCTTGTAGTGGTAGTAGTAGTAGTAGTAGTAGCAGCAGCAGCAGCAGTAGTAGTCGTAGTTGTAGTCGTAGTCGTAGTAGTAGCAATAGTCGTCGTCGTAGTAGTAGTGGTAGTGGTAGTGGCAGTGGTAATAGTACTAGTACTGTAGTAGTAGTGGTGGTGGTAGTAGTAGTAGTAGTAGTGGTAGTAATGGTAGTAGTAGTAGTAGTAGTAGTAGTAGTAGTACTACTACTACTACTACTACTACTAGTAGCAGCAGCAGGAGTAGTAGTAGTAGTAGTAGTAGCAGTAGTAGTAGTAGTAGTAGTAGTAGTAGTAGTCATCGTCGTCGTAGTAGTAGTAGTAGCAGCAGCAGCAGCAGCAGTAGTAGTGGTCGTAACAATATAACAACTCTGTGGTGTCTAGTGGGAAGTCAGTCACCCCAGCCAAGTATTCCCAACA